CAGCAGTTAAGAACACTGGCTGTTCTTGCAGAAGACCTGGGTTTGAATCCCAGCACCCACATGGTATCTAACAACTGTCAGTAATTCCAGTTACCTCTTCTGTCCTCTGAGGGCATTGCACGACATGGGTACACTTACCTACATGCAGGCAGTACACCCATACACATAAAAAAAGATAATAAAACATTAAAAAATGTTAATTGATGTAGGAGGGTCCAGCCCACTGTGAATGGTGTCATCCCTAGATAGGTGGGCCCAAGTTAAGAAAGATAGCGAAAATGAGCCTAGGAAGTAAGTCATTGGGCAGTATTTTTCCATTGGTTCCTGCTCCAGATTGCTGTTGGAGGTCCTGCCCTTACATCCCTTGATGACAAACTATAAATTGTAAGTTAAACCCTTTACTCCACAAGTTGCTTTTTTGTCATGGTGTTCATCACAGCAACAGAAAGCAAACTAGACCATCCTGCTTCCACCACACCAAGATACAGCAACCACACAGGAGGGTACCAGAGACTCTGCTTCTACCTGATCCCACCGAGCAGTGTGTGCTGCTGGGTCCAGGTCTCCATACCCAGCACAATGGGTCACTTCCTTAAAGGCCTTCATTCTCTCCATGCTTTTGTCCTCCATAGCATAGCTATTTTCAATTACTTGAGAGATCCAGTCACCAGGTTTTCTGCAAAGATGTGTATGAGGAGTTTGTTCTGCTTCAGAAGGACTTTTGTGGTGAGCACTGGCTTGCTGATGTCACATTGCTGGGCTCCAGGGAGAGCAGGATACCCATCTTCCCAAACTGGGTCACACCACCAGGATCTGGCAGCTGAAGTTCATGCAGACCACCTGGTAGGTTCTTCTCCCATCCCTGCATACCACTTCTGACTTTTGTTTGGATACTACCAATGTTTTGCATACCATGGTCCCATTCTTCAGTGGAGGCTGGGTTCAGAGAGACCACAGCCTCCCCAAGCTGAGTGAGGTGCCTTTCACCCATGGGTGAGGAACCCTGAACTTGCATAGAAGGGGCAGGTGGGCCATGAGTGAATGCAGCCTGTCTGGGACATCTGGGCAGACCTAATGTCGCTGTGTTTTTTTATCCTTTCTTCACTGACTATCCTTTCTACCTTCCCGGTTTCACTCATTTAGTGGCTACATGGTCTGGTTTTGTGGTAACGTCATATCTGCTTTCAAGGTGCACAAATAATTCTCAATTTTGTTACTAGACTTTTACCAGGCAAAGGCCTGAACTTTGGCAGTCCCAATAGGCTAGGTTCTGGGATCTATCCCAATATGTCAAAGAGATAAGTGATAGGAGAGAGAGAGAGAGAGAGAGAGAGAGAGAGAGAGAGAGAGAGAAAAAAATTTAATCAATGTGACTTATTGGAAAGAGAAACAGATAAGGGGTCTAGTGACCCCAAGTTTATCTTAAGTATTGACATGAACTCTAGATCTAAACAGGAAAATAACTGGGGTGGGAGGCAAGGGGCTTGCATAATGAAGCAGTCTTGGACAAAGTGTGGTCTGTTTAATCATATCTCAGTTCTCCTTCTGCTAAGGAGTCTGAAGAAATTATTGTTTTCATAGGTTGAGATGAACAATCTGGTTCCCGTGATTACTCCTGCTCTAGGATGCAGGCTTACCAACATAAAGAACTATGCTCATCTGATGTGCTCATCTACACTCATCTTTCCCAATGTTTGGGGGAGATTCAGTCCTATTAAAAAAGTGTTTGTAGCTGGGCTTGGTGGCGCATGCCTTTAATCCCAGCACTTGGGAGGCAGAGGCAAGCAGATCTCTGTGAGTTCAAGGACAGCCTGGTCTACATAGTGAGTTCCAGGACAGCTGGAGCTACAGGGAAATGCTATCTCAAAAAGACCAAAAAAAAAAAAGTGTTTGTTAAGGGGCTGGAGACATGGTCAGGGTTAGGAGAACTGGCTACTTTTGCAGAGGACCTGGGCTCAGTTCCCAGATATCCACATGGGTATCTCTGTTCTGGCCTCCATCAGGCACATTCATACATGCAGGCAACACTCTCATACACATAAAATAATAAAAGTTTAGCTGGGTATGGTGGTGCACTCCTTTAATCCCAGCACTTGGGAGGCAGAGACAGGCAGATCTCTGTGAAATCGAGGCCAGCCTGGTCTACACAGTGAGTTCCGGACCAGCTGCAGCTACAAGGAGACCCTGTCTCAAAACAAAACAAAAAAGTAGTTTATCCATCAGTTCCGATGATCCTGGAATCTAAGGTGACGACATATTTAAGGCAACAAGTGGAGCACATTTGGGGGTCTGGAATAAGACATTCTAATAGTTGACAGTGAGATGGCTAAACCAGATAGACACAAAATGAAGGCAGGTACTCCGTCTGGGCTTTTATTCTGTTTTTAAATACCTTGTGAGCCCAAGTGAGGAACTGAGACTTTTTCTTTTTTTTAAATCAAAAGTAGTTTCAAATGCCTGTAATATTTAATCTGTTCTTCCTTTTTAAAGGAGGGTCTTTTAGGGATTAATTCAAAGCCTTGATCCTCTCCTCTCTCTCTCTCAAGACTTATGTAGCTCTGGCTGGCCTGAAACTCATTATGTAAACTAGGCTACTCTCAAACTTGCAATGATCCTTCCTGCCTCTGCCTCCCAAGTGCTGGGATTATAAACATGTGTCTCTATGCCTAGCTGGATCTTGTTTTAAAAATGTGCTCTACTCAAGAGTGCTGGTTTACACCTGTAATCCTATAACTCTAGCAGTTGGGAGACTGAAGTAGGAGGATCACTCTAAAATTCCAGGACAGCCTGGGGCAGTAAGACTGAGAGCCTGTTTCAGAAATAAAACAAACGACTATACTACCAGATAGGCTTTTTTTTTTTTCTCTTGAGACAGCATCTTCCTGTAGCCCTGGCTGGCCTGGAGCTGGCCCTGTAGACCAGGTTGGCCTTGATCTCACAGAGATCTGCCTAGCTCTGCCTCTTGAATGCTGGGACTAAAGGCAGCACCACTATGCCTGCGTGCCTACAGACTGTTTTTATTTCAATTTTGCTGGAGCTTCTAATTACAGGTCTACATGCTTGACTCCTTCTCTGGTTATTCTTTTTGTTTTTGTTTAGTGCAAGAGATTGAACACAGCACCTCTTTCATCACTGAGTACACTGGTGTACCTACTATTTAGTATTTAGCATGTAAATTCCCTGCCCTGTTGCTTCGAAGACCCAACAATTAATACACAAAATTCTATTCGTCATGGAGTTTAGATCCCAGTTATTCATCGGGATACAGTAAAACACGGTTTTCAGGAAATCATATTTGAAAGTGTAAACTAGTTCAAAGTATTATTTTTTAAAAAAATATTATTTTTATTTTATGTGTATGAGTGTTATGCCTGCATGTAGGTAAGTGCACCTGTGTCATGCAATGCCCTCGAAGGACAGAAGAGGCTGTTGGATATCCTGGAACTGGAGTTATGGACAATTGTTAACTGCCATGTGGGTGCTGAGATTCGAACCTGGGTCTTCTACAAGAACAGTCAGTGTTCTTAACCGCTGAGCCATCTCTCCATCCCACATTAATGTTTTCTTTTTTAATTAAAAAGTGTATACTACCTCAGTAATTTTCTAAGGATTCAGTGACTAGATACTGAATATATTTACATCTGTGAAAGCATTTTATACTCTGTGAGCCTCTCCAAATTCAGGCTAATTCTGCAAGCACAACATAAACTTGAATATCTGGTATATCTGGTGAGTTATCAGTTGGCCTTACTGCACAAGGATGATAATGAATTGTCAAATAGATAATGGCCTGTTTCAAGGAGACAAGAACTTGAACTGACACCCTTGTCCCACAGCTGGGAGCAACCCTGTACAAACTCCAATTCAGTGAGCTCAGTGATTTCCTAAGTGTGGTCTTCGGACTAGCTGCATTAGAATTACTCAAGAGGGAATGTTATCAGGGCTCTTACCTTAAGGTTACTGAATTAGACTATCCAGAGGCTTTGGAAGTCTGGTAAATTCCCCAAATGATGAAGGGAGCATACTAATAGTTGAATCACAAAACATGTTTTGGTACTATGGGTGTGTGGAACTGGAGAGCGCAGGAATTTTAAGGAAAGTTCCAAAAAAGCAAAACTAAGCTCTGTGTGAGGGATTAAGGAAAAAGAGGATCTCTGTGGTGTTCCTTTGGTGATAATAATCTTGCCACCATTATGACAACCAGTCTACGGGGCAGTTCCTGAAAAGTAACTGTTGCCTGAGCTACATAAGGTGATACCACTTTTGCTTGAACGGGTATCCACACCAGGACCTCAAACTGAGGGTGCGTGTTTGTGACCCAGGTAACTACACCAAGTCCTCAAACCACGGAGTTGTGTGTTGTGCTCAAACCAAGGTGTGGGGTGTGTGTTATATGCACCAGGCCCTCAAACCGAAGATGGGTGTCTCTGCAAACGGAGGTGCGTTGTGTGCACCAGGCCCTCACACCGATGGGTGTGTGCTTGCTTCCGTTGCCAGCACCCAAGATGGCGACATACCCGTCGCCCACCCGAGAACCACATGCTCCGAGCTCCGCCTCAGTCCCCTCAGGTCTTATTGACTTTGCAAGTCACTGTGGAAACGCTCCAGAGGATCACTCCGCGTTCTAGCGGCAATACGCCCTTCCTTCCCCAGCCTTAAGTTCTCACTCCCTAGCCACACCACGAACCAGAAGCACCTAACATGTAACACGCCCGCCTCCAGCGCCCGGCGGAGGGGGTCCAGAAAGCCGGACGCTGAGGCCTTCTCCGCACCCATTGGCGGGCCGGATCTGCACGCTCATTGGGCGGTGGGGCGGGTCCGCCCGCCCATTGGACCGCCGACCACATCAGTCTTGGGAAGACGGGCCAGGGGAGGCGGAGACACGCCCGGCTATTGGGTTCTCTTTCTGTCAATCAGAGCGACATCCGGTGACGACCGTAGCCACGGCTATCTGATTGGGGCACCTGTTTCTAGGGTGTCCGTGGCGGGCGGGCTTCCGAGTGCGGTGGAAGGAGGGGGCGGGGAGGGAAGCGGAGGCTGGGCGCTCCAGGCCGGCCGGAGGTGGCGGCGGCGGCGGCGGCGGCGGCGGCGGCGGCGAGGCCGAGACTCGGGCTGAGAGCCTGTTGTGGCGGCAGCGGCGGACTCCGACATCAGCAGCGGGTACCGGACATACTCCTGTTCCTGGACAGAGGGCTCTGGTGCCATAGGGTCGAAGCTTGTGGGCTGAGGGGCGGCAGGCTGTGGCCGAGGACAAGGAGGCGGGAGCCGGGAGGCCGAGCGGGGATCCCGCGGGGCTCGGGCCCGGACTTGGCTGGGAAGGAGCGCGGGGCCGAACCGAGAGCAAGCTCCTGGGTGGGCTGGACTGAGGAGGGCTTGCGGGCATGGGAAGGCGTGGTGAGGCCCGGCTGGGGCGTGGGGTGGGGCCTCAGCCACGGAGGGCGGGGTGAGTCGCCTTTAAGGGTGGGTCAAGGCCGGGAAAGTAGCACTTGTCGCCTGCTGTCCCGGAAGGCTAGGAACTGAGGCGCCGAGAGTGGGCATGGCAGCTTGGTCCCAGCCGGACGCGGGTATCCAGGGCAGGGTGGGACCGGACTCAGGCCAGGGCTCTTTGGCTTTCTGTCTTTGGAGAACTTTGTCCACTTTCTCACACGTAATTGACTCTTGGGAGGTTTTTAGTAGTAAATGGCGTGAGAACGGGCGAGTATCGAAAGCGGGAATGTTTACTCATCCGAATGAGGGTATTCGTGGGTGTGTGCCTGCGTGTGTGTTCCTAAGCTGTAGATCCCACTTCCCCCTTAGAACGAAGTTGGTAGTGGGTCACCACAGGTTGTGTGTTGGCTTACATTAACAGAGGCTCAAAAATAGCGACCAGAAACTGAAAGGCAAATTTACCTTCTCCCTACTTGGCAACTTGGGTTGAGAAAACTTGGCCATATATCCTTCTGCTTTGCCCCAGAAGGTCATCTGAATAAAGATAAACCCTACCTATTCAATTCCGGGTGGAACAGTTCTCTGAAGGCCCTCACCATCTCACCATGCTTCATTACTCGTCGGTACATTTTTTCTTTTGTCATGGGGATTGAACCGAAGACTTTGAACTAGGTAGTCAACCACTGATCTGATCCTAGCCGCTCCCACTTTTTTTGTTTTTTTAGTTTTTATTTTGAAACAGTCTCACAAATTTGCCCAGACTGGCCTCAAACTCTTGACCTTCTTGATCTTCAGGAAAGGGAAATTAGAATTCAAAGTTGGAAAAAAAGGCAGTTTTCTTTGTGTGAAATGGTGGCCCAAACATTGTTCCCGAGCATTTTTCACGCGATCCACCATTAAGAACCTTTCCCTCTTTGGAATTGGGAGGATGATTGTAGATGATAGGAAGTGGGCTTCTTGTGCTAAAATTAGAAGCTGGGTAATTTTGTATTAGGAGTGTTGGTAAACTAGACACAGTGTAAGATAGTTTGGATGCCTTTAGCATTGTCCGCTTATTCAAAGCAAGCTACTTTTTAAAGTATTGCAGATTTACTATCCAGTCACTGAGATCCTTTGTGATTCTTCCTTTTTACAGTTTGCATAACAGGTTTGCTTTCTGATTGTGTAAATTTTTTTTGAATGTGTTTCTTACCTTCTCTCTGAAGGTCTCTTACCCTGATCATGATGTAAAAAGTATGGAATCTTAACTTGTTGCTCTTGTGATTCCTATTTCAGGTTTCTCTGGAAACCCCCCTGGTAAGTGTGGAGGAGGCGGGACACTCTGACCCAAGACAAAAGACCTGTAGCTCCAGCCAAAGAAAATAAACCTTAGGAGGGAGACCGAAAAAGAAAGAAAGAAGTCCATCAGCTGTTCTTGAGAACAGCCTGCATTGGAATCTACTGAGAGGACGGCTGATGTGAGTGAGGAAGGGACTGTATGTGGACTGTGGAGACAGTAAGTTGCCAGGGCCCTGAGTTCCTGGACTGGGTTAGTAACAGTTGAACTTTCAGAGGTGAGGTGTCAAGAAGGGAAAAGTGAATGTGGTCCGGAGTGTGGCCTTGGCTCCACAGGGTGTGCTTTACTCTGGGGCCATCAGGGAGCTCAGCCCCTGTGTTCTGCCAGGGTGGGGAACAGGGTCTTGCATTGAGGAGGGTAACCTGCTGGCTGGAGTGGCAGAGCAGTGGCCTTGATTTGTCTTGTGGAAGATTTAAAAACAAAAAAGCATAAACATTCTGGTCCTTCAGCAATGCTTTCTCTGAAGAAATACTTAACGGAAGGACTTCTCCAGTTCACCATTCTGCTGAGTCTGATCGGGGTGAGGGTGGACGTGGATACTTACCTGACTTCACAGCTCCCTCCACTCCGGGAGATCATCCTGGGGCCCAGCTCTGCCTATACTCAGACCCAGTTCCACAACCTGAGGAACACCTTGGATGGCTATGGTATCCACCCCAAGAGCATAGACCTGGACAATTACTTCACTGCCCGGCGGCTCCTCAGCCAGGTGAGGGCCCTGGACAGGTTCCAGGTGCCAACCACTGAGGTAAATGCTTGGCTGGTTCACCGGGACCCGGAGGGGTCTGTCTCTGGCAGCCAGCCCAGCTCAGGCCTCGCCCTCGAGAGTTCCAGTGGCCTCCAAGACGTGACGGGCCCAGACAACGGGGTGCGAGAAAGCGAAACGGAGCAGGGATTCAGTGAAGATTTGGAGGATTTGGGGGCTGTAGCCCCTCCAGTCACTGGAGACTTAACCAAAGAGGTTAGTTGGCCCAGTGGTGGTGGGTGGGGCTGGGTGTTGGGGAAGAGTGGGCTGGTTCTGAAGGATTGTGGACCCACACTGAGCTTTTTGAGGAACCATATAGGTTGGGAGGTGGGGAATTGGCCTGAGGCATTGTGTTTAGGTAGGAATGGGCTGAATTGTCTGAAATTAGGATTCAGAGCTGTGAGCATTTCCATGTGTTGAACCATTCACCCACCACTGATTGTACTGTCAGGGCAGTGGGAAGTTCCTAGAACATACCAGGGTGTTTACTGCTTAGATTTCAGTATGACTGCTGGAGGCCTTAGGGGAGGGAGGGCCATGTTATGATGGGCTTTGATACTGTGTGTATCTGTTGCTAAGAAACATACTGTGTGGCTTCTTGCCTTGTACCCCCCCACACACCTTAAAACATGTGTATTGTACCCTAAAGTTGTTTGTGGTCAGATCTGTTGTTGTAAAGTCCTTTTAGCTCTCCTGGGCCTGAGCCAAAGGGTAGACTTGGATAGTTATTCTTGGCCAGGAGAGGCTAAGGCTCCCATTCTTTGCTAAAAGTCCACTGTAGGGACTAGAGCAGAAAGGGCTGAAGGCTAGAAGAGAACTCTCTTTTGCTGCTCAGGCTGGCTTGTTCTGAGCTATCAGAAGCAATTTTAGCACCTGGCACAGGGCTGACAAACTTCTGGACAGAAAAGGATACAGTTCCTTCCCTTGAATGATACTAATGGCTCCTATGGCCCCTACCTCACCCAGGTGGTAAAAATGTTGTGACTTGTCACCAGCCTTAGGAGCACAAGTGTGGATTGGCACTGGGCTGGCTAGTATGGAAGACTGTGCAGATGGTTGCAGAGTTTGACTTCCTCTGCCTACCATATCAGGCCACATTTTGTCTTTCTCCCTGCTTTGGAGCTTAATTGTGGCTTAGTGACCTAAGTTGTCTTGACTATTAGTGACTGAGAAATGACTTGTATTAGACCTATGGTTTCATCTGGGGGAGAGATTGCAACATCTAGAGACAGTTGTTTCACTTGTCAGAGCTATGGGGAGGGATGCTAGGGCATCTAATGGGAAAGGCCAAGGATGCTGCTTAAACATCTTTTTTTTGAATTTTTGAGGTGGGGTGTCTCTGTAGCCCCAGGTGACCTGGCACTCACTATGTAGACCAGGCTGGCCTTGATCTCACAGAGATCCACCTGCCTCTGCCTCCTGAGTGCTGGGATTAAGGTGTGTGCCACCACACCTGATGTTTAAATACCTTTTTAAAAATATTTTATTTTGTATGTCTACCACATACATGCCTGGTGCCTAACAGGCCAGAAGAGGCAGACAGTTGATAGCTGCCATGTAGGTGCTGGGAACAGAACCCAGGAACACTTAGTGCTCTTTTTTATTTTTTGTGTATGTGTGTATTGTATGTATGTATGCATGCTAGTGTACCTGCGTTGTGCAGTGCCCGTGGAGGACAGAAGAGGGTTTCAGATCCCTTAGAACTGGAGTTACAGAGGTTGTTAGCTGCTGTGTGGGTGCTGGGAACAGAATGCAGGTCCTCTGCAAGAACAGTCAGTGCCCTTAACCACGGAGCCACCATTCCAGCCCCACAGCCAGTGCTCTTAACCACTAAGCCATATCTCCAGCCCTCCTCCCCCTTTTTAAACAGTACAGGGCAGCTCCCAAACCACAAGTTTATCTGACCCCCAATTTTTCGTGGTGCTGAGATAAACCCACTTTGGTTGGCTAGCTCTTACTAGATCTGCATGAGAGAGGCTAGGATTATCTGATCATGGGAGTCAGGAGCATATCTTGGCTTTTAGGGCCTTTGAAGGCCTTAGATTCTGATGTTTTTATATTTTGGAAATCGTCTGGCTGGTCTGGATCTTGCTATATAGACCAGGATGGCCTTGAACTTTTGATAATTCTCTTGCTTTTACCTCTCCCTCCCAAGTGCTGGGATTATAGCCCTGTGCCACCATGCCATTTTAGAGTCTTAGAGTGTTCCTTGCGACCTCACCTTTTTTTGTTCCCCCTTTCTGTGTCTTTCAAATGGGCTCTTGAAGTCCAGGGACCAGAAGCCCTGTTCCTGATCTTTAATGGCATGGAACAGGGCTTCTGGGAACCCTTGCAGGGTTGGCTCTGGTACTGCCCCTTTAGGGAGCTCTTCTGGGATATGGAATGTTTTGGCTGTAACTGGATGTGTTGGAGCAGAATGGGATGGAACTTGGTATCTGCTTTTCTGTTTCTTGGCCATAAAGAAGGTCATGCCTTCACTGACTCCTGGCCTTTATCACTTTCTTTGGGAACTTGGGTGGGTCATGCACAAGGGACCCAGGCTGGGGATGGGGGAAGGGAGGATTATGATGTGTCTAGAACATTTCCTCAGCAACTCAGGGATAAAAATACCCAGGTCCAGAGCATGTGACAGGCACTGCTGGAGCTGGTATTATCCCTGGGGTGGTGTGCTCCCTGCTGCCAGGCCTGTTCTATGGACACCCATAGCTTAGGCCCTTGTCAGGGATAGGATTCCCCTCCAGGTTGGCACCCTGCCCAGAGCAGGGGGTGGCCTGTTTACAGCTTTTCCCAGGCTAGAAGCAGGCTGTAACCAGGGAGAACGTACTGTCTCTCTGACCTGACCTTAGGCTCTGGGGGCACAGTAATAAGAGTTCAATTTTCCCTGAGAAACCAATGTAGGGAGTCAGAAGTGGATCCACAGCCCCATTTCTGCCAGGGGCTTTCCCCTCCCTGCTAGGAGAGATGCTAGCTAGGTTTGGGCACAAAATGCTCTTTAGTTTCTCCCTTGCTGCAACTCCCTCATACTACCACAAATTGCTCCTTGGAAAAGCCGGGAGGTGGGGGTGGGGGTGGGTGGCATATTTGTGGCTACGATGCTGCTGCCCAGCACCTGTGAAGGTAAGTGCTGGGCTTCACAATTCTCTTTCTTTTTGCTAGGGGCCAGGCCTGCCGGCGCTGACACGCGGCTCTTATAATAATGGCTTTCCCCTCTCACCTAATGTGACTTGTTTTAGGGTGAGAAAGCTCCTGACTTTTTTTCCTCTTTTTGGGTGCCCTTGGTTCCTGCCCGGCCTGGCTTGTGATTCCTGGCCTTGAGGACTGGCCACAGCCTTCTTAAGGAACGAGAAAACTCCTTAGACTTCCCAGCAGAGGATTTAGTTTCCCAGTGAAGCTTCAGGAGTGTCTGTCCAGTCCCCAGTGGGCTGGAAGAGCAGGACATGACAGGCGGTGCAGAGTGGCACCACTTCCCCCCAGGGCGCTTTCACTGCGCCACCCCAGCTGACTGACTGGGCTGGGTGGGGCTGCCCGCCCCTGGGTGCATCTCCTCAAGGAGACGGAGGCGGCCCAGGGATGGGCCGGTTCCTTGCGGCAGCTTCTCCAGCTGCCCTGGTGCAGAGATTGGCTCCCTTCTGCAGCTAGGTAACAGGCGGTGGGAGGGGATTGGCTCCTTCCGCATCTCCAGCGGAGACTTGGGGGAGGAGATTGGCTCCCGGCGCAGCCTAGGTAACGACAGTGGGAGGGGATTGGCTCTTTCCGCAGCCCCAGCTGCTGACCTGGGGGAGGGGATTGGCTCTCTGCAGCCTCAGCAGTGACCTGCGGGGTGGGAGGGGGAGGGGATTGGCTCCTTGCTGCAGCCTAGGTAACAAGTTTGGGGGGCGTGGGGAGGGGGAGAGGGAGGAGCGGGAGGATAGGCCCAGGAGGGGAGCTCGCTTTCCTCTGCAGCGTGAGCACGGAGCATGGGGTGGGAGTCCCGTCTTACTGCAGCCTCTGCGGTGAGCTCAGGGTGGGGGCTGCCGGGCGCCTGAGTGGAACTAGGGTTGTGAGGTGGGAGGGGGCTGCTCCAGGATGGAGGAAGGGGGCTGGGCTGGGCCGCCCAGGCAGCAGCACGGGCGGGGCACCTTCATCGGGCCCCTCGGAGCTACCAAGGGGCCACCCTTCCAGCCTGGTGTGCTTCCTGCAAGGCACGAGCTCCCTGCAGCCCCCTGTCCGGCTTACCGGCACCGGCTGCCCTGGGGCTCCTCTCGCAGACCATGACCCGCCTGGACCGCAGCTCTCACAGTGGTAGGGGCCATGCCAAAGGCAGGCCCCTTAACTCTTTGCTGGCTGGTCACCGGGTGGCCCAGCCCCCCTCTGCTCCTGGGTCCAGGGCTTCTGTTCAGGTTGGTGTATGGTGGGAGACTGAAGGGAGAGGTACATGTGGGAGGTCTTGGTCTTGGGAGACAGATGGGGTGGGTCATGGTAGGAAAGAGTACACAGTACTTGCTTGGGGATAGGGAGATGGATTTGGTCTGAAGATACTTCTCACTGGAAAGAGTGTGTCTGCTTTTTAATCTCTGAATGGAAGGCAATACTTAAGGGTCCTTTTCAGGCTTGTTGGAAGACTGCTAAAGGGAGGGGCATATATTGGAAGTCCAAATGGCTCTGTTGGGGTTCTGTGGGGGTGGCAGTTGGTGCAGGAACTCTGTAGGAGCTTCAGAGAAAAGTGGATGGAGGCATTTTAATGTCCAAGGTGGCATTCAGAGCTCAGCCATGGTAGGGGTTATGTCCTTGAATGGGTTGACTATGCTGGTGAGTCCTGGGGTGTGGTATGAGAGGGAGGGACAAAGATAGCATTGGTGTGAGGGGACACAGTGAGGCTGGTCTAGGCAGGGGTGGGGTGCTCAGTGGGGATCATCTGACTGCCTAAGGTTCCCTTGGGATTGAGGCAGCTTTGCTAGGATCAACTGAGATGGAATTCTGGCTGGGATGACTCTTGAGGTGAGGCTGGCCTTTAGTAGTTGTGGATGTTCAAGCTTACTCCTGCTGTCAGCCAGTGAAGGGGGAATGCTGAAGGAAGGATTGGAGATCCGCCTGTCATTGGTTGCATCAGGTGGTTGGAAATGCAGGGATTTTCCTCTCCAGGCCACCCCACCCCTTTATGCAAATGCAGTGGCACCACAGGCTGATGCAAGCCTGGCCAGTGCTAAGCAATTCTACATGGCAGTAGTTTGCCCTTGCTGGCCATGGTCAAGCAGGCCATGTTTTTAGGGTCCCCATTCTCAAAAGTGAGAGGTGTCTCTTGCTTCCTTTTCATTGTTAGAGGTGATGTAGGCCTGCCTTTTGGTCTGGGTATGTCTCTGGTCTACATCTTAAACCTGTGGACCTGTGCAGAGTTAGATATGTTAGTGTTTTTTACTAATGACTGTTTTTGGTGGGAGGTTGCCTGGAAGTGGATGAATGAAGTCTTGCTGGTGCAGAGGAACCAGAGGAGAAGGGCTAATGGGCATAGGCAGGTGGGGCCACACCCAGGACTAAGTATCATTAGGAGGAGCCTTGGAGGGACAGAAGAGGGGGTTCCTTGAGAGCTAAAGCCATCATGGTTTGTCTTTCAGGATATAGATCTGATTGACATCCTTTGGCGACAGGATATTGATCTGGGGGCTGGGCGTGAGGTTTTTGACTACAGTCATCGCCAGAAGGAGCAGGATGTGGATAAGGAGCAGCAAGATGGAGGAGAACAAGAGGACACCTGGGCAAGCGAGGGCACGGAAGCTCTGGCCAGAGACCTGCTAGTAGATGGAGAGACTGGGGAGAGCTTCCCTGCACAGGTACTGCCGCCTCTGATACTGGCCTCTGCTTTCCCCCCTTCCCCAGGCTCACAGGCTGGAGCTCTTCCACAAACTTGGACCTGAATGTATTTTGGCCTGGAGTCTATAAAGTCACAGAGGCTGGGCCATGGAAGGAGTTAGGGACTAGGCAAGAGACTCAGAAGCATCAGGCCTTGGCAGCATATTGCAGAGGAGGCAAAGTGTCTAGCATCTTCCTCCTTATCTTAGGACTCCTCTACTCCCTTTTGTGTCCCTGGGTGTATGGGACTCAGGTCTGCCATTATCTAGAACACGGATGTGGCAGGCCTACAGTGGTTCTGGAGAAGTGTATCAGCCTTAGACAACCAGGGCCCAGGCCAGCCAAACTTAACAGTTGCTGTTGCCACAGGTGCCTGGTGGGGAGGACCAGACAGCCCTGTCCCTGGAAAAGTACTTTAGGTTGTTAGAGGTCACCTGCCCCTTTGGAGAGAATGCTAAGGTGAGCAGGACCAGAGAACCCACTGAATAAGCAGGACACCCTGCACAACGTGCACCCCAGTGGCTTATATGCAGGGCCAGCTCTTGGTCTGGCCTTGGCCTAGCTTCTGGGGGGTGAATTCAGAGAAAGAATAGGAAACAAGACAGCAGTCACTGGGAGGAAAGCAAAAGGTAGTCATCTTTCCCCTGCTGAAGCCTCTTGTTCTGCCTTAGTTCCCAGCAGATGTTTCTAGCATCACAGAAGCAGTGCCTAGTGAGAGTGAGTCCCCAGCCCTTCAGAACAGCCTCTTATCTCCTCTTCTGACTGGGACAGAGTCACCATTTGATTTGGAACAGCAGTGGCAAGATCTCATGTCCATTATGGAAATGCAGGTAGGATTGTCAAAAAAGCACAGCCTGTGGGGTTTGTACAGGGTGTCCCAGCATGCAGTCATGTGCTTCTCTAGGAAGGGCAACACTCTTCTCTGTTAAGGACACTGAGAGGCGACTCCAGGTGTCCCCTTAGGGCTGGAAGAGGTGGATTGAGTGAAAACACAGTATTAAGCCTTCTTCCAAAGCAAGGCCTGCCGTAAGGTACACCTCTCCCTTTATGTAGATGGTCACTTGGCTGGCATTCTTTTACATAGTACTTTATCGATGTTGGCATTTGCTAGGCATATGCCCTACCTTGGAATTATACCTTCAGCCCTCAATTGTTAAGGTGTGAGAAATGGAAGGTCAGAAATATCGGATGATGTGCTTGTAGTCACCCAGCAAGCTTTATAACATGTTTTCTGGTCCAAGATGGTCAGTGTGTGGACTCCCTTTCACTCCAAGATGGGGAAATCTGGCCTCACAGAACCAGGAGCTTGTCAGTCTCTCATTGAGGTGAAGCCCATAATAAACCCCTAGTCCCAGGCCTAGTGGTCTGAGATGGGCCAGGGGCTGACCCTGGGCTTTCCTGCCCAATCTCTGCTTAGCCAGCTTTGCTTTAGTTTGGGGCTTGGAGGGTTTGAGACCAGGGAGGAGTCTGCTCCTGTTGAACACTGGTATGCTTCTCCATTTCAGGCCATGGAAGTGAATACATCAGCAAATGAAATTCTGTACAGTGCCCCTCCTGGAGACCCTCTGAGCACCAACTATAGCCTTGCCCCCAACACTCCTATCAATCAGAATGTCAGCCTGCATCAGGCGTCCCTAGGGGGCTGCAGCCAGGACTTCTCCCTCTTCAGCCCTGAGGTAGAGAGCTTACCTGTGGCCAGCAGCTCCACACTGCTTCCACTGGTTCCCAGCAACTCCACCAACCTCAATTCTACCTTTGGCTCTACCAGTCTGGCAGGGCTTTTCTTTCCACCCCAGCTCAATGGCACAGCCAATGACACAGCAGGCCCTGAGCTACCAGACCCCCTGGGGGGCCTGTTAGATGAAGCCATGCTGGACGAGATCAGCCTGATGGATCTGGCCATTGAGGAGGGCTTCAACCCCGTGCAGGCTTCCCAGCTTGAGGAGGAGTTTGACTCTGACTCAGGCCTCTCCTTGGACTCTAGCCATAGCCCTTCCTCCCTGAGCAGCTCTGAAGGCAGCTCTTCTTCCTCTTCCTCCTCATCTTCCTCCTCATCTTCCGCTTCCTCTTCTGCTTCTTCCTCCTTTTCTGAGGAAGGTGCTGTTGGCTACAGCTCTGACTCAGAGACCCTGGATCTGGAAGAGGCTGAGGGCGCAGTGGGCTACCAGCCGGAGTACTCCAAGTTCTGCCGCATGAGCTACCAGGATCCTTCTCAGCTCTCTTGCCTTCCCTACTTGGAGCATGTGGGCCATAATCACACGTACAATATGGCACCCAGTGCCCTTGACTCTGCTGATCTGCCACCACCCAGCACCCTCAAGAAAGGCAGTAAGGAGAAACAGGCTGACTTCCTGGACAAGCAGATGAGCCGGGATGAGCACAGAGCCCGTGCTATGAAGATCCCATTCACCAACGACAAAATCATCAACCTGCCTGTGGAGGAGTTCAATGAGCTGTTGTCCAAATACCAGCTGAGCGAGGCCCAGCTGAGTCTCATCCGGGACATCCGGCGCCGGGGCAAGAACAAGATGGCTGCACAGAACTGCCGAAAGCGCAAGCTGGATACCATCCTGAACCTAGAACGTGATGTAGAGGACTTGCAGCGTGATAAGGCCCGATTGCTTCGAGAAAAGGTAGAATTTCTACGGTCGCTGCGACAGATGAAGCAGAAGGTCCAGAGCCTGTACCAGGAGGTGTTTGGGCGGCTGCGGGATGAGAATGGGCGGCCCTACTCACCCAGTCAGTATGCACTTCAGTATGCTGGGGACGGCAGTGTCCTTCTCATTCCCCGCACGATGGCTGACCAGCAGGCCCGGCGACAGGAGAGGAAGCCAAAGGACCGGAGGAAGTGAGCCTAAGGAGGCAGGGGGTGGACACTCACCAAGACCGAAACTGGAGAAGGGCTGGGCCTGGACCTAACATCGGGGACTTAAATGCCTTCTTATCTAATAGATTTTCTCAGATGGGATGACTGCAGGTCAGTGCACAGGAAGAAGCGGGTGCAGGCACTGTCTGGCTCATCTTCCCCATTGGGGGTAGGTGGAAATGTCCAGACCATTTGAGTGATGGGGGTCCCCAACCTACCCCCTTTCTCAAGACGGGAAGGGTATTGGCATGCTGGTGGAGGTAGAGGAGCTGTGTGGAATGAAGGCTGACAAAGGGAAAGGGAGGGACTATGAGAGGAGAGAAAGTAGTAGGAAGTCTCATTCCTGGAAGGAAAAATGGAAGATGAAAGGACCCCCCCCCCCCAAA